TCTATACTTATAAAAGAGAAGTCACTTTACTTATGTGTCGCAATGAGAGCGATTTTAGGAAGAAAAAAACGCAATATGGGCATTATTATCATAAAACGGACTTCAGTATTTAATTTGTTAAATCTTACTTAATGTTTAGGATATTCTCATATTATATAAGACCCACGTAGTAGATAGCTTCTATATTTATCAAAGATTACATATTCTCGAATATAGATAGTTGTATAGATTTACTAATTATTTTTATTTTTATATTTCTATGATATTCTCATCTCACATATTCAATTATATAATGTCCATTGTTTTAGACAATTTCTATATTTTCGATTGTATTCTTCCATATTTATCTTCTCAAATAATTTACATATTATTTATGCTTGCAAAGTATCGTGATTATCTATACTAATCTTTATACACATCGATATATTTATTAGTAAATTTTCCATATATATTTAAAGGAAAATATCTATATATTAAAATATATATTATATCGAAATTATTAAATCATGTGTAACCCTAATAATTTCMRATCTTATATATATGTGTTTTCCATCATCTAATGGTACGCCACAAATTCTTCTAATCCCYTCTCTTTATTTTAAGGTTTGTTCCATCGAACATATGTTTCTCTTTTGTTTTGTTGGTTCTTTTTAGTTTAGTTTATATAACGTTTGCTTATCGTTTGATTCATATTCTGTTATACTCCAATATTGATATGGTTTCTTTTTTACTTTTATAGGTTTCGTGGATTATTGATGTAGGTTCTAGGTGGCAGCGACTCATAAGGATRTGTTGGACATAAAGTTTTGAGAGCCTAAACKCTATCATTGTTTTATGTTTTTTTGTTTTGCACCTTATGTTTCTCTTCTTTTATGTTTGTTCRTCTTATGGACTTTTGTTTATATAAGGTTCWCTTATCGTTTGATCGATTGGTTTTCTTTAATCATGTGATTTGTATGCCTTTGATCGTCTATTTGTTTTTGGTTTGTTTTTATGTTTTTATGTTTTCTAGGTTTGAAATATTTTTCAAACCTAAACATGTTACTTTCGTTGTAGGTAAAATTTTGG